GTGGCAGGGTACCAGGAAGTGAGTGCGCTGGGTGCCAAGCTGTGGGCGAGGCTCTGAGGGTGGCAACCCTGTGCCCCTGGCCACTCAATGGCCTCCAGCCCCAACCAAATCCCTTTCAGCCAGTGCCTCCCTCAGGCGCCTGCCCAGGGCTGCTCTGAGATCATCTTGTCGGCCTGGGATATCAGTAGGTGCTTGATGCTTCAGGGAGGAGGGGTGCCCAGTAGGGTGCTCTGGGCAGACCTGTGGATGCTCTCCTTGCACCCCCATCCTCCGCAGGGCAGGCCTGTGGCCCTGGGACATTGTGGCACCTGGTGGCACCCTGGAGGTTCCCAAGGGGCATCTGACTGGGTCAGAGGCACCTGGCACACAGCACCCTCCACAAAAGGGGCCAAAGACACAGCCATCATCAGAGGGACACTGACCCCCTGGTCAGTTTTCTGAGGGGTCAGGGTGACCCCTGGAGGCCTGAAGCTGGAGTGAAGGGGACACAGGCCAGGGTCCAGCACCGAGGGCCTCTGTCTGGGGCAGGGCGAGGGCTGCTGCCCCCTGGGAGCCCAGCACTCAGTTCTTGTTGATGCTGCCTGCCCAGGAGACACCTCAGGGCTGCATTCCAGCTCCAGGACAGGACCAGGGCTCAGCAGCAGCCCCAAAGGTGCTGCTCATCCCTCCTGGGGGTGACTGCTCTCTGGGTCCCCAGCTGGCTAGCCCAGGGTGTGGGCAGGGAGCTGGCGTCCCAGCCCATGGCTTCTCCAGAGTTGAAAACAGAGACTTCAAGAACAACACACACCCAGGGCTGCTGAGGAGGGGCCGTGCCCCCAGCACCCGCCCCTCAGCTTCTCCCCAGACAGGTCCAGGAACATGGTGAGGTGGATGGGCCCCAGCCTCCCGGAGCGTGGCGTCCAGCTTGTCCTTGGTCTCGGGTTTTCCTGCTGCAGACTGGGGCAGGGTCTCATATCCACCTCTGGTTAGGCAGTGGGGTCGCTGGGGCAGGGTCTCATGTCTACCACTGGTTAGGCAGTGGGGTTGCTGGGGCAGGGGCCTCACACCTGCCCTGGCCTTGTTGGGTGTTTGCTGTTTCCATGGGCAGAGGGTTCTCCAGGGAGACCCCCACTGTGCCCAGGTGTGGGTCAGGGGCGCACCCCAGGCCCTGAGGCAGAGAGCGAGGAGGACAGAGCCTAAGAGCGGCTGCTTGGAACAGCAACAGTGGGGTAGCCTCCCCCCCTCCCGGCTCAGCTGAGGAGGGGCCTGGCTGTGCCGCACTCTGGGACCCACCAAAGGGGTGGAGGCGTCCTTAAGGTTCTCCTTGTCAGTGATGCTGTCTTGGTTCTGATCTGTGAGCATGAAGGCCTGGGTCACTGTGCAGCACCCCCAGGCTCACATGGGGTCTTCCAAGCCCGAGAGGGGAGCTCACCTCACACTCCTGGATCTGGGTCTGCCCTCCCTTCTTCCAAGTCTCACTGCTGGCCTGAGACAAGAGTCCGGGAGACTTCACTGTCGTGGCCTATGGTGCTGGAGGAGCCCCAAGCCTGCGTCCTGGGGAGGGGTGGCTGGAGCTGGGGCTGGGGAACAGGGATGGCTATGGCAGCCTCCAGGGCCCTGGAGCAAACAGACTCCATGGGTGGCCAGTCCTAGGCACCAGGACTTCCTGAGGGCCCAGCCCGTGCCTCATGCTGCCCTGGTTGCTATGCTGACACCCACACACTCATGCAAGACACATTCAAATTGCACATGTGTGCACACCCACAGTTCATATGCCTCTGCAGGTCACCATGCTGTGCTCCGCCCATCACAGTCAGTCCCTCCAGCCCAGGCCCCACCTTTTTTTTTTTTTTTTTTAAGATTTATTAATTTATTTGAAAGGCACACACAGAGTCTTCCATCTGCTGGTTCACACCCCAAATGGCCTCAAAGGCCAGAGCTAGGCCAATCTGAAGCCAGGAGCTTCTGGGTCTCCCACATGGGCACAGGGGCCCAAGGACTTGGGCCATCTTCTACTGCTTTCCCAGGCCACAGCAGAGAGCTGGATCAGAAGTGGAGCAGCCAGGACACGAACCAGCACTGTAGGTGCCAGCTCTGTAGGCGGTGGCTTTACCCACTACACCACAGTTCCTGCCCGGTCCCCCAGGACACCTTGGGTTTTGGCTGCCACTCCTTACAAGGACAGGATTGAGGCCACCCCAGAGAGTACATAACCGGACAGTGAGCATGGACAGCCCGGTCCTGCCCCTTTGCCCAGGCAAGGCCACGTGAGTCTCCCCCAGGGCCTGGGAGGGGTGCATGCCCACCCGGGATGGAGAGGAGCCCTTGCCAGAGCTGTGCAGAGTGGCAGCAGCAGAAGGGTCACCATGCATCCACAGAACTGGTTCTGGAGCTCAGGCCACCATCCTCCCCGCCTTGGGGCCAGGGCTTGCACCTGGCCTGGGGCCACCCATCCTGGCCTAGAGACTGGCAACTTCTTGCCTAGCTCACTGGGGTCAGATTTCTGGGGTGGAAGAGACCTGGAGATGATCAGGCTGACTGGAAGGCCTGAACTGGGACATCTGGCTGTTGGTGCCAGACGTGGGATGCCTCGGCCCAGGAAACAGGACCCAGGGTGGCCACAGCCTGGAGGTATTGGAGATGGGGGTACAGGGTGTAGGGCCCAGGGCAGCCACAGCCTGAAGGGAGTGGGGATGGGGGTGCAGGGAGGGGACCCAGGGCAGCACAGCCTGGAGGGAACGGGGATGGGGTGCAGGGAGGGGACCCAGGGCAGCACAGCCTGGAGGGAACAGGGATGGGGTGCAGGGAGGAGACCCAGGGCAGCACAGCCTGGAGGGAACGGGGATGGGGTGCAGGGAGGGGACCCAGGGCAGCCATAGCCTGGTAGGAGCGGGGATGGGGGTGTGGGGAGCAGGACCTAAGCCAGCCACAGCCTGGGCTACAGGGAGCAGGAGGTGTGGCTGTGATACCTGGGCAGGGCTCCCCTGAACCACACCTGCCCAAGCTGGCATGGGTCAGGTGCCTCCCCACGTGCTGTAGCCCACAAGCCCCAGGCCCAGTGTGGGCTCCTCAGGCCCCTGTCTGAGGGGTCAGCCAGTGACCAGGTGTGGGTGTGGCTGCTGGGATGCAGAGGGTAAGTCAGCTGCCATGAGGCTGGGGCAGGCTGAGGCAGCCTTTGCTGACTGTGTCTGCCGGCCCTGGCAAATACGCATCCATCCCACTCTGGGATGGGGTGCGGGGTGGTGCGTCTGGCCTGCTGCTTGTCCTGGGCTCCCTCACAGGGACCAGGACCCCAACTGGCAGGCACTGAGTGTATTGTAGGTAGGCATACAGGATAAAACTGATTAGGGGGCCGGTGCCACGGCTCAATAGGCTAATCCTCCGCCTTGCGGTGCCAGCACACAGGGTTCTAGTCCCGGTCAGGGTGCTGGATTCTGTCCCAGTTGCCCCTCCCCCAGTCCAGCTCTCTGCTGTGGCCAGGGAGTGCAGTGGAGGATGGCCCAAGTCCTTGGGCCCTGCACCCCATGGGAGACCAGGAGAAGCACCTGGCTCCTGGCTTCAGATCAGCGTGGTGCGCCGGCCGTGGCAGCCATTGGAGGGTGAACCAACGGCAAAAGGAAGACCTTTCTCTGTCTCTCTCTCTCTCTGTCCACTCTGCCTGTAAAAAAAGTTAAAGAAAAGAAAAGAAAGGAAAAGGAAAGAAAGGAAAAGGAAAGAAAGGGAAAGGGAAAGGGAAAGGGAAAAGAAAGGAAAGAAAACTGATTAGGTTTGTGAGCTGAAAGACCACGCCCCCGTGTGACCTCAGGCCCCTACCTGACCACACCTGTATGCCCACCTGCCAATCAGGGTAATTAACTACTACCCTTTGGCAGAGGATTAAAGCGCTGAAACACAATGGGCCCGGCCCTTTTTTGCCGCTATAGCTCTTTGTTGCCCCCCAACCCCACTTTGGGATGCGTGGCCTTTGGGACGTCCATGCCACTGCCCGTGATAAGCTGTTAATAGCTGCACAAAACGCTTGCTGCACCTGGCTGTTGGCCTGCTTTCTGCCTGGTAGGGATTCCAACTTCCAGACTTTCCCTCACTCTCCTGTGCATTTCTCACTGAATTAAAAAGCTTAAAAACTCACCATGCTGCCTGGTCTATTTGTGCCAATATTCAGGTTTCTTATCTGAATACGAGGCAAGAGTCCACATAGCTTTTTAATTTCGAATTAGTAGTCAGCAAACCGTAACAAGGGCAGCCCTGGATGGGGCCGGAGCTGGCCGCAGGCGCGCCACCCAGAGCACGAGCACCAGCATGGCTTGTGGTCATCACGCGTGAGGGGCTTGCGACAACCCCCCACCCTCCGTGAGGCCGAGAGGGTGGGAGCTCCAGGGAGCCCAAAGCCGCGGCCATTCCCACAGGTGCAGCGGGCTCCCGCAGGCGAGGGCCAGGCAGCCCTGGCATCCTGAGCCCCCTGACCTCGGGTCCTGTGCCCTCCCCCCCCACACACACTAATTTCTGACTCTGGAAACCTCGGATGGTGAGGGGCCGGGTTTATTCTAAGGCGCAGGCAAGTGGACACAGCTTCCATCACCTGAGTCGTCTGTGGGGGTGGAGGGTAGGCCTATGTCCACAGAGCGGGGTCAGGCTGAGGGCTTGGGGCCAGGCTCGGGTTGGGGGGCGCGGCTGGCCGCTCGCGGACGTCGGGGCACCGAGGCGTCTGCGGCTGCATCGTATTCCCCAGGTCCCGTGGAAAGGCCGGGAACGGTCACGGAGTAGGCTTCCCCGGGGAGACCTTAGTCCCCTTCCCAGCCAGGCGCACACACGGCGGGTGGGCCTCCCGTCCGGACCCCGGGACCCTCCCAGCAGACCGTGGGCCCTCTTTGCCGCTGGTGCTGTGACTCGGACTCCTCCGGTACACACACAGATGCAGCCCGAGCACGCACTCCGCGCGCCCGCACCCGGGCCGCACCATCGCGCTCCGGCGGGGGCTGCCGCGCATGCGTAATCGAAGCCCGAGTCCGGCGCTTCTGCGTGTGCACCGCACCCCTGACGTCATCCCTGGGGTGGCTGCCTCGGCCCCTTCTGCTACTGCAGCGTATGCACCCCTCCTCCCGCAGAATTGGCCCATAGCCTTCCGCGTGGCTTCCGTCGAGGGGTTTTGCTTCTGGTTCGAGGTCACGGACAAGATGGTGCCGCCGGTGCATGTCTCCCCGTTCATCAAGGTGAAACGAGCTTTGCAGTCGCCGCCTGCGGGCTGCGACCCCCGGATTCCGTGACCTGCCCCTGCCCGGCCCCTGGCCTCAGGACCCTGGGACATCCCCCCCATCCCATGCCCTCCGCAGCCCCTGGACTCCTCGCATCCCCCGCGCTCCCTGTGTCTCTTCGCGCCCCCGACCCCATGCCCTCCGTGCCCCCGCCCTGCGCCCCCGGGACCCCCTCGCGCCCCCCGTGGCTTCCCACCCCAGCCCTTCGTCCCCTGTGGCCCCCGGCCCCGCGGTGCGAGTCCTCCCGACTCCCTCTCCCGCAGCTGGGCCGCTACTCCGCGCTGTTTCTTGGCGCGGCGCAGGAGTCAGGCGACACAGTGAGTGACCAGCGTGCGGGGCGGGAGGGTGGGCTCGGGCCCCTGGCGCCCCCTCTGCGGCTTCACCGGAGCCCTCGCCGTCCCGCTCCAGGTTACCTGAAGCCCTGCGCGGAGGAGGAGAGGCGGCTGGCGGCGGCGGGAAAGCAGAAGCAGGATGAGCTGAAGCCTATCTCGAGGGAGCGGGCGGAAGGTACCGCGCCGCGCCGCGCGGTCCCGGGGTGGTGGCGCAGGGCGGCTGGCCCGCATCTGGGGGTGGGAGGGCACCCTAACTGCAGCCTTTTTGCCGCAGCCGAGGACGACAGCATCCTCAAGTGAGTGTCTCCCAGAACCGAGCTTCGTTGCGGGAATAAAGCGGCCCGTGCGGTGCGAGTCTGTTTCCCTCCATCCTGGGATGGGCGGGGAGCGGACTCCGGTCTCCCGCATGGCGCCATCCGGGGGCTCTCCTGCACTGGGTCCCGCGCGCGGAGACAGCAGCTCGGTTTCTCTGACTTTATTCTGGATCTGCTTGGTCTACGACCATGAGAGGCGGCCTCCGTGGGCCGGCCTCCTGGGTGCACTCAGACAGGTGCAGGCCCTTCGGGCTCTCCCGCAGCAGCGTCCACTTCACAGCACTCACACCTGGCTTAGGTTTGTGAAAACACAAAAACCTTGGAACAATTCAACGCGGCTTCTTCTGGCGGCCTAACCTGACACCAAACTGCCAGAGACGGAGCTGGGGGCTCTGCAGGTCCCACGTCAGGTCCTGGGACGCAGCTCACAGGATGCATCAGGTGGAAGACTTGGGAGCCGGGCCCCCGTTGCAGATCTCTGTGCCGCCTGCAAGAGAAGGGGGGGCCGTGAGTGGGAGCCACACAGGCCACTTCCCCGCTGCTCTGAGTGACCTCTGCGGTCCCTGCAGGAGAGAGGGCGGAGCATGGCGGGGCCAGCCGGGGCCGATGAGCCGATTAGCTGGGGCTGGGCCTGCCTTAGTCTTGGCCCTGTTGTCCAGGGGAGTCACCCCCCTTCGCCAGGGCTTCCACGCCCCTCAGATTTGTGGCTTGGGTTCTGGAAGGCGCAGGACTTTTTCTCAGTGTTGGTGAAAACTGATGGCAGGGAGTAGCGCAAGTGCTGGGTCTGGCTGTGTCCACTCCCTGGGGCTGCCATCCTCCCCGAGCCCCTGCAAGGACTGGCAATGCCAGTGAGGGCCTCTCTGCCCTGCGGGGCCGGCCTTCCACACGTCTGCTGGTGGGGCTCACACACTGGAGGCCCCTTGGAGGGAGCCCCACATGTACCCAGGGCCTTCACTTTGGCCTCGTACTCATCCGCCAGCGCCTTCCACTCTTTCCTGTTGTTCTGCAGTCAGTCAAACATGGGCAGGATTTCCTCTTGGAACAGTGAGAACTCCTGGAAGGGGTGGAGCCATCACCAGGCCACCCACAGGGGCTTCCCAGCCCAAACCCTTGCAGGCTTGCCCGGCCTGGCCCACCGCCGGGCGTCCCTTGGCAGACAGAGCTGTCGGTGAGGGAGAGGCAATGAGCAGGACATCAGGTCCCCAGCAAAGCCCCAAAGGGGATGTTGGGGGGTTGTGTGTGAGGGAGCTCCTGCGGACATGGTTACTGCAGGCGGGGCTGGGGCAGGACGCCCAGCGTCCCCTGAAAGGAGATGGCATGTGGCAGATGAGCCCACCCCAAATGCCTCTTTGTCACCCACATGACGATCTCCTTCCACGTGGTCTCCAGTGACAGGTACTCCACCCAGCTCTTGTCCTGGTTGTTCTTGGTCTCATCCGCGACCTGGAACATCCTCCTCTTCCTGAGCCCACAGCTGGGGCGGTGGCATGGGGAGAGGGGCGGAGAGGAGGGGGAGCTGAGGCTGGAGTCACCCCGGGGGTCCCGCCTGCTTCCCAGAGCCTCCAAAGCCGGGGTATCACAACCCGACCACTAGCGTGATCCCTCCCTCAGCATGGCCCCGCCCTTCCAGGGAGGGGAGCGCGCTTGAAGTAGAGCGCCAGGTCAGTGGCGATGATGGCGATGTCCATGAGGTGGATCACGTGCTCGTGCTGCTGCAGGTTCAGGTTCTAGTAGATGTTGAGGCTCTGCGGGAGATCACATGTCAGCCACGCGCAGCCGGCGCCCCCACTGTCCCCTTGACCCATCCTGGTGCTTGGGCGGGCCCCGATCTGGCCTCCGGGGTTCTGTCCCCACACACGCTGCAGGAACCCGGGTTGGGCCTGCACCCTGCGTGGTCGCCTCACCCACAGCGGCCGCCGGGTGCCCTCTGCCTCCTCTGGGTCCTGGGACCTGGATGACCGCCCTGCCAGGGGCAGGGCCGAGGAGGTCCCAGCTTTACAGGACACCTGCTGGCCACTCTGCGCCGATGGTCTCAGGCCACTGCCTCCTCAGAGGGGCACAGCTGGCCTCCGGCCTCATCCTCACACGGAGCCCTGGGGTCTCCCTTGGCTCAGGGTCACGCAGACTCTGATGGCTGGAAGTGAGGACACAGACCTCCTCGGACAGAAGGAACTTCCTGAACTCCAGGTAGTACTGTTCCAGGATCGAAGAGCCCTGGAGCTTGGCCAAGGGGTTCTGGGACCTGCCATGTGTGCCATGGAAAACGAGCGTGGAGGAGCGGCCGGAGCTGCCGACTCCAGCCCACCCTGGGTGCTGCATGGCCATTGGCAGCAAGTCAGGTCCACCTTGTCGCGTCCCTCGACCAGCAAGGAAGACACAACCCGAACTCTTCTTCAAGCAGTTTATTCAGGAACCTTGAACAAGCTTCTTCTCCCGCCTCCTTCCCTCTCCCATCCCTCTTATAGCCATCAGCACACCAATCAAAAGCAGCCAAGTGGCAAGGATTGATAGGTACAGCAATGCGGAAGCCAGAAGGGAGCTCAGCCATCTCCTTATTAGGAGTTGTTTGTTTCTCGCCAGTCCTTCCGGGAGAAAGGAGCCGGCGCCATCTTTAGGGCGCGGTGCAATGGCTCCCCACACCACCTCAGGGTGTGGTGACTCCCAGCCCACCCGGCCAGGGGCCTACTTCATCTGGTGCAGGTTGTTGGTGCCGCGGTGGTTGATGTCATGGCACAGGCCGGCTGTCTCCATAGTGAAATCCTCCAGGTCAGTGTAGTAGCTCTTCAGCTTGCCCATCTGAGGGGTGGGGGCAGCACATGGGGACGTGAGGAGGGGGAGCTGGGCCCCTGCCCATCCACCACGGTGCGGGTAGGAATGAACTGGACAGAGGCGCCCGCCTCCACCCCACCATGAGAGGCCCATGTGGGACTGGGGCCCCTGTCTGCCCATGGATGCCCCTGTGCTGCACCTGTCCCCACCCCCACGGCAGGTCTGGGTCTGATTCGGGCCCCCCATCTGCCTGCCTGCATACCCACCATGAGCAGCATGGACATGGTCTGGGTCACGTTGAAGCTGTGACGCCAGTTGTGGTAGGTGATCCAGCATTAGGCTTTGCTGACGGAGAACAGGAGCCACACCAGGACCTGGGGGAGCACACAGGCTCTGGGCCCAGCCCCACCCCTGTCACCAGCCCTCGGGGAGTGGTTTGTGGAGGGGTGCAGGAGGCCTGGGCAGGGCAGAAGCCAAGAGCAGCCCCACTGGGACAGGACATCGTCCTGGGCAAGGCTGGGAGACAGATGTGGGCAGCAGGGGCCTCAGCTGTGTCCACTGAGACAGTTAGGGTCAGAAAACAGACTTTTTTTTTTTTATTCTAACTTATACGTGTGTAATGTTTCCTCTTTGTGTTTAGTAAAATTTCCTTCACCGTGCAGTGTCCTGTCTCTGAGCTGTGGGAAGCAGGCACAGTGGTGGGAGCAGGTCAAGGGAAGAGAACCTGGGTTGGGGAGGGGAGGTTGCAGAGCAAGGAAGACCACCTGCCAGGGCCTAGGGCTCTACTGCCACCTGGAGGCCGCCTCACAGTGACCTCCTGATGGGCCCCTCAGGGAAAAATTCCACTCCTGCTACCCCATCTTCCCTCCTCTACCCACTTGGTGTTCACTCCAGACAGACTGGCTGTGTTTGCCCCAAAACCTTCTCATGGAACCTGGAGCCTCCAGCCATGTCCCCTTCACCTCCTAGGGGCTCTGAGGCCCTGACCACACCCCTCTCACCTCCTGGGGCTCTGAGACACCCCCCCAACCATGCCCCTCCCACCTCCTGGGGGCTCTGAGGCCCTGACCACGCCCCTCCCACCTCTGGGGGTTGGGACCCTGACCCCTCCCCTTCTACCTCTAGAGGTTGAGACCCTGACCATGCTGCTCCCACCTCCTGGGGCTCTGAAATACCCCCTCACTAACCTCCTGGGGGTTCTGAGGCCTGGACCATACCCTTCCCACCTCTGAGGGTCTGGACCCTGACCCCTCCTTCTACCTCCTGGAGGTTGGGACACCGACCACACCCCTCCCACCTCCTGGAGGATCTGGAACTTGCGGACCACACCCAGCTCGTAGTACATTTGGATGCCACATTTGACCAGCTCCAGCTCGGTGCACTCCAGGTCGGAGAAGTGGAACTCATAGATGTTGAACTTGCTGGGTCCTGGCAGCTCTTCCTTCTGTGAGGAGGATCATGGGCTGAGGGTCAGGCCTCCAGCCACTCAACTTGTCATGTGTCTCCTCCCTGAGCCTGCTGTCCAGCCCGGACACTGTGGCTGCCTCTAGAGATACCTGCCCTGCTGGCCACTCCAGTCTACAGCCCAGCACACGCGTCCTCTGCTGGCTCGGCAGGTCCCCTCCTCCCTCCCACCTGTGTCCTCACCAAAACATCAGGGAAGTTGGCACAAAGCTAAGCACAGAACGGTGCACAGGTACACATGGACTCAGGCACACGTGTGAACAAGTACACATGGGCAAGGCAAACATGGCTCAGGCACACATGTAAACAAGTACACATGGGCAAAGCACACACAGCTCAGGCACACATGTGCACATGCAGGCACACAGGTGCAGACTCACTCCCCAGACACGTGCAAATGATCACAGGGTAGCAGCTCCCTGTCCGAGCCCCAGGGGTGGCTCTGGAAAATCACACGGCAGACACAGTGGTGGTGATATTGCATGGGTGACACACGTGTGTATGCGACACATGCAAACAAAGATGCACTGGGTGTCATGGGTCCTGGCCACTCCCATAGTGAGGACAGCAAGACGGACAGAGATGACAACACGGATGGTTCTGGGAGAGCACATATTACTTCCACTGTAGCTGGACAACTGCTCATACACTGGCCAGACTCAAAGCCCGAGTTATGTAGACATGGCAGGCCAAGGAGGGTGGACACTGTGTACAGCCAGCAGGCGGCAGTGGGCAGCACAGGACTCTTCCCCCCCCCACCACCACCAGGAGGCCAGTTCGCAGCCCAGGGACGGGAAGGGGGAGCTCACCAGGATGAGGCCCTTTTCCTCCTCCTCACAGTCTGTGGGCTCCTTCCCCAGATGGTCTCTGGTAGGCAGGGAGGGAGCAGCATACAGCATACATGTGTAAGGCCAAAGGACTGTGCCCCCACCCTCAGGGTGACACAGAGGGGCCACATCCCCTGAACCCTCCTGTGGTGACACAGAGGAGCCATGTCCTCTGCGCCCTCCTGTGGTGACATAGAGGAGCCATGTCCTCTGCGCCCTCCTGTGGTGACATAGAGGAGCCATGTCCCCTGCACCCTCCTGTGGTGACACGGAGGAGACCACGACCCTGCACCCTCCTGTGGTGACATAGAGGAGCCACGTCCCCTGCACCCTCCTGTGGTAACACGGAGGAGTCCACCTCCCCTGCGCCCTCCTGTGGTGACACGGAGGAGACCATGTCCCCTGCACACCCATGGTGACACGGAGGAGCCTGACATGTCCCCTGTGCCCTCGTGAGTGTGTGGATGGTTCATCTGAGAGCTGTGGGAAGCAGCGACTTGGGAAGGCCCAGGTAGCCTTGCGTGCAGACATGAGAGAGAAATGGGTACTGCAGCTCACTTCCCGCACGACCCTGGCTTTCTGGCACTGTCCTCAGAAACCCCACAGGGATCACGTGGGCCTGGAGGGACACGAGGCTCTGGGAAGGACCCCGGGCAGGGGAGGGGCCCCTGGACACAGGCACAGTACCAGGATCACCTGGATCTCGTCCTTGTCACATCGCACGTGGTAGAGGACCATGTCCTGGGCGATGTCCTTGTGGTTCTCCAGTTTGTTCATCTTGTCATACGTGTCCGTGTTCAGCACCAACCAGCCCAGAAACTGCATCAGGGACTGGGGGACAAGCACGCCCTGTGTGCCACGCCCGGGGCTCCCAGGGGCAGCAAGTGCTGGGACAGGTCCCCAGGGTGCCCAGGAGGCATGGCCCAGCCCCGAGGGAGCTGTCCACAGCCGGGCAGGTGTTTACCTCCATGATAACCTCATCCTGCTCGTCAAAGGGCTTCCCATCCTTCCTGTTGTAAAATGTAGCCACCCCCACGATCTCCTCTTTCTTGTTGATGATGGGCATGGACAGCACGTTCTTGATGACCCAGCCAGAGTCGTCCAGGGGCCCGTCCTGTGGAGTGGCGTCCAGAGCTGAGGCAGCTTGGGTCCCGCCCTGCCAGCACAGCCCTCATGCCAAGGTCGGGCTGTCGGTCCAGCCTGGGCACCCTTCCTGGCATGTGAGTGCCGTGTGAATGCTTTCCCTCATGGTTTTCTCACTGGAGGACTGGGGGCATTTCCCACCAGGCTGGCTTCCTGGGGTGCAGGCCTCAGCCATGCAGGGGCCATGCTGTGTTCTGTTGCAATGGTTGCTCACTCGGGGTCTCGTATTTCCACTCTGTTCTGGGGCGTTAATGGGCCGGTTCCCGCAGGAGGCCCTCAGAAGCCTTCTGCCCCAGGAGAGACACCCCGTCCCCCCCAGGTAGGTGTTCCCAGCAGAGGGCGCGTGGAGCAGACGCCAACCTGTGCAGAGGCCCTGCCTGGCCCAGCTGAGATCAGCCAAGACCAGGTGAGCCCAGTCAGCCAAGGTCTGCCAGGAGCAGCCGAGGCCCGGCTGACCCAGCGCAGAGCTCATCCTGGCTGTTGCCAGCCACTGAGGCCGGGGCTGCTGCTTAAGCGGCAGGCAGGGCTGTGTTCTTCCGTAAGTGGAGTACAGTCTCTGTCAGTGAACAGTCTGGTACCTGGAACTTGAACATTTTGTCCGTGAAGGTATTCATGATGTTACAGATCTGGAAGACAGCAAGCAGCCTCAGTGGCAGAACGGGCAGCATGGCTCTGACAAGGGGTGGGCTCCTGGCGAGGCAGAGCTGAGGGCTGGCTTTGGGTCAGGGCTGGGGCCTGGCAGACACAGGATGGCCCTAGGCAGAGCCGAGGGCTGGTTGAGGCCCAGGGCAGGGACTTGGGGGCCCCAGATGGCACAGGACTCACAAAGCCACTTTCTGCCATGTAGGTTGGAAGGCCACTGGCCAGGGCCCAGTGATCAGCTGGGGGTGTGCTGGGGAGAGAACAGAGAGTCAGGGGGATGGACACTTGGGTGGGCAGGCGTGTGCATCAACCTGGGTGAGCAGGTGTGCATATCCATGGGTCTCCTCCCTCTCTGAGCTCAGGCGAGTGCATCCACGGTCTCCTCCCTCTCTGAGCTCAGGTGCAGGGGAAGGCAGGAGAGGGTGGTGGGTGGTGGGAGCTGATGAGGACTGGAGGGAGGGAGAGGAGGCAGGGGTGGGAGGTTTGTGGGGGTCCCTGTGCTAACCTGTTCCCTCTTCCCACTCTGTCCCTCTAATGAGGGGGCCACCTGGCTCCAAGCCTGCCTCCAGGGACTCAGGCTGGTGGCCAGCACTGCTGTCCTGTCCTGACCTGTGCCTGTACTGGCACCTGGACCCTAGTGCCTATCTGGGGCCCGGCCATGCAGCTTCTGGGTGGGGACAGCAACACTCTCCCCTCCAGGCTCTCTCAACTGACCCCTCCCCTGCTTCTGGAGCCTCCAGTTGGTGGGGATGGGCTGGCTGAGCCCAGATGAGGACCCAAGGGCCTCAGGCTGAAGTTGCTGCTGATGGAGCCCCATGGACAGGCCAGCTGACCCCTCTGGACACCCACTCTGCATGTGCACAGTGCCTGGGGCTGGTCACACTTCCTCAGCTCCCCAGGACCCTCCTCACTGTCTCCAGCCCTGCTGCACTGTGCCCATGGCAGCTGGAACCACAGGCTGGGCCACATGGCGAGCTTCCTGTGAGAGCTGACACTTACGGGATGACCTTGATGTCCTCCTTGCCATGGAGGATGTAGTTGATGACCTTGTAGAAGACAATTTCCTGAGAAGCAAAACACATCAGGTGTGGGGGCTCCTAGCCCAGCTCCTCCGTGGGATCTCTCCCTGAGAGGTGAGCAGACACCAGGGCCCTGCCCCAGACACACACACACACACACACGCACATGCACATGGTCGCATGCTGCACTCTGCCACACTCATGCACACTTGCATACCTGGTCACATACACTATGCACATGGTTACACACCACACACAAGCATGCACACACATGACACACTTGCAGTCACATACAACCACACACAGGCAATCCACATGTGCACACACAGCCAACCATGCACACACAACCACACAGCATCAAACACATTTGCAGGTGACACACACAAGGGCCCACATACCCATCAAACATGGACAATCACACACAACTAGACATTCGCAGGAGACACACACATCAGGCACACTCACACACATGCAACCACACCCACACAGTCACATAGTGTACACAGCAATAGACACCTCTGGTATGCACACGTTTTATGCACGCATGTGTACAC